CTGACCTCTCAGGGTGGGCATTAGTGCTGCCAGCCCCACTGACCTCCCGGGGTGGGCACGCTGCTCCAGCCCCAGCCCACTGCACTACAAACACAGCCTGCACCACAGGCATTCCCTGACAGATTTAGTGAGGTAACTGTACACTATAAAGCTAATCAGCTCTGCTTTTACTGGCAAATGGCATCACACACAAGGGGACACGTGTGGAACTGCAGATATGCTGTGGAATTAATGGTCTTGCTCACATGTAAAACAACTTGTTCTGATAAACCCATCAACTCCTAAACTTGTTGGCTCTAACAATTAGAATTTAGGCCTTGGTTCATCAACACCTTAAATATCCATTAATCCCCTCTTCAACTGTAAATGCCAAACAGAGGCTAAAACGTGGCACTGCAAAGCCTCTAAACGTGTGCACAATACAACTTGATTGGATCTGTAATGTAATATTACAGACCATTCCAGCAGATTTCAAGACTGGATCACAAAATTATTCTTAACACACAAATTTACACATTTAATCTGCCATCTTAACACGAGAGAAGCATCTTTAAATATGAGACTAAGATTTAAGACTCCCAGATGCATTGAAAAAATAGGTGTCTTTTTTATGCCTTTGCAAATCTCCCTTTATATGAATATTTTATATTCATCTGGCATAATGAAGTTCATCAGGGCACTGCTGCTATCTCATGACCCCTTAAAAAGCTGAGAAGTTCCAGCCCACATCTGATCTGTTGCCAGACCTATTTTTAAATTGGAATTGTGTTACATTCTAAAATAATGTTCAAGACTACTTAAGGTAGCAAGTGGAAAACAAAAGGAGTCTAGGACTTATTTCAGACTCTTCTGGAGTTTCAGGAAACCTGCTGTTATATTTTAGGAAGCCACAACACAAATTGAAAGAAAAAGGCCTGATTTTGATTAAGTCCACTGTGAAAAACTTCACCATGATCCCTCGTCTTTCAAGGAAATCACTTTTCCTCAGCTCAGTGGTTATGGCAGGAACTTTCAGAGTGAATATAAAGGACTAAAAATATGTGGGAGAGAAGACAGCTCTGATGAGAGAAGGACATGGAGGGGGACAGAGGCAAACACAAAGGATGCTTCTGGAAAGAGGCAGGAGCCAAGGTAACTCATGGCAATGTGAGTACTCCCACTCCTGCAGGAGAGTGCAGCTGGGAGGGCAGCAGGGGAGTGCTGCAGAGAACAGCCAGGTAATAAAGACAGGGGGCAAAGACGGGGCAAATTAGGTCAGCATCCCTCACATGAGCAAAGGTTTCACAAAACCTGATTATGTGGAAAAAAAATCCCAATGAAAAAATCACCAACCCCAACAACCCCAAGCTGAAGACTTTGTTTAGACAACCCTCAAAGTTGTGCCGTGGAAGAGAGAGATGATCTCTGTGCATTATCAGGGGCAGCATGTGGTGCAGGTAATGAATTTTGAGCTGCTGTGTGCATGCCTTCATACACGTAGGTGTTCCTTCAAAGCCTCTCTAATAAACACACAAACCATTAGAGCTGCTCTGCAAATCAGCCACAGAATTAAAAGATGTGGGTGGAATTTAAAGGTGCAGAACGAGATGTCAATGTGACAGGGTACAAGCTGTGAGTCCAGTGTCACTGCACCACAGCAACCCCAAAGAACCAGCAAACCCATGGGTGTGCAAGGGGTTCTGGGAGCACTGGGTGTGCAAATAACCACATCCTGTGCTCAAAGTGGTGAATGACAAAGGAGAGCCTGCAGAGATGTTCTAGGACTCATCAGCCTTAATTCCATCCAGACTTACAATGAAACCAAGCCAGGAGGATGATCCTACTGCTCTGGATCCATGTATCAGTCTCAGGTACACCAGCAACCAAAGGCTCCACAGCCTTTCCAGAGCTGGGACTGCAGTGTCACGGGAGGATTGGCCCATCACAGCTGAAGGAGGATCACCAGCCAGCCAGCAGGATTCCACAGAGGAAACCTGAAATGGGTGGCAGCTGCCTGATGGGACATTGGCTCGTCCTGCTTGCAACTGTGACAACAAATAACCAGTCTGGATGTTCAGCACCGGAGAGCTCTCTGCATCCACCTCAGTCATAAGGGAATCCAGAAACCCTCTGCATTAAGCAAATGATACCAGAGCTTTATTAGCTTCTCAAGATGCTGCTCAGGAACAAAGAAATCATGTGCTCACAGATTTGACCACACGTCTTCTAAAGAAAACTACATTCAGGCTCTGCTCAAAAAGACACTACCAGTTCTGATAAATCACTATTGCCAAGTGTAATCTTAAAAAGCATTGCAAACCCGTGTATTTACCCCTGCACACTGCACTGCCCAAACACTCACTGTCTCACCTACAAACAACAAACACATTCCTGACCAAACCCCAAAGAAACACAAAGTGTCCCCAGCGAGGACACAGATCTGTTCCTACAGCACTGAGGAGATCATCAATATTTATCAGCAGGCTGCCAATGAGGATGAAGCAGTTTAAACACACAACTCAACTCTAAATGTGAAATTATGACATGCAGCTATTCAGACTTCATCAAAACCTTTTTAACACTGTAATTAGAATTCTGTGGCCTCTGCTTCTTTCAGAACTCTAGTAATACAGGTATTATTCTAATGCAATGCACCATTAAGTTGTAATCAATTCCACAACATCCAAAAATCCTTCAGACCAAAAGAATTTAGGCGTGTTAAAATGACTATGAAACTTCTGTAGAAAAAATGCAGAATAAGATTTATTTGCATTAAAACATTATAAGAAAACCAGCTCAGATACTGATGGATTCAGTGAAAGTTCAACATCACCTGTTTACACATTATTTCAGATGGGAATATCCAACACCATTACAGAATCTGACCAAATTTGGACAAAACCGACTTCAAATGAAACATGAAACTGCAAAAAATGTGTAACTGGGAAGAACTTACACCCCACAGCAATGGCTTTGCTTCTCCTTTCAAAGCCTGTTAGTTTATCAGGACACCTGACATTTTCATCTTACATCAGGAAAATGACACACACTCACATTCACAAATAATGGAAGTACTTCACTGTAATGGAGCCAGGCAGCTTTCCAAGTGTTTCTGTGGCTAATTCCAGCCACTGCCTGCCCTGATTTCCTCCCCTACATCAGCCAGACGCTTCCTATCCCTAAGCAACTGCTACAGCCCCGTAGCTGGAACTTCAGCAACAAGCCTGGCACACGAAGTGCAAAGGAGCCAGCAAGAAAGAGCTTGGGGGAAAGAGAAAAAAAAATCACCATTTCACAGATCAAGAATAGAGGCATGAAAATAATAAGTAACTTGTACACGGTCACAAAAGTCTCTGGCAGAGCCAGGGAAAAGAACCGAAATTTCTTTAATCCCTGCTCAGTCCCTTAAATACAAGGCTATTCTTCCTCTTCCTACTTGATATTGTGTCAATGCAGGAGTGTAGGTGTTGAAAGACTAACAAAAGAAAAGTAATAGTATGGTA